TTCCCCCCTTTCCCCCGCCCCACCGCGCCTGTTTCTTTTAGGTTGTTACTTTTCATTTTCGTCATCCTTTTTTTTTTTTTTTTGAGGGGGGGGGGTGGGGGAAGCGTTTTTTGGGGACTACCGGTCACACGTCGGTGGGTACCCCGCGCGACGCGGCGTGTTAACGACCGCTTCGAATTCTTCAAGCAGGGAGAGGTACTGGTGGTTTAAACCAGAAGTACATGAGCCCAAAAAGCAGATTGAGCCTCTATAGATTTGGAAGCCATGGACAATCGATAATTAAAATGAATTGCTAGATTCCTTCGAGTCGTTTTTGAGAGAGCTACTGTAGTTACTCCTGAAGATGGCCGGTATACTGGCGGACCGACCGAAACATCTGTACTAGGGTAATCGCCAGCAAGATTTTACGTTGCGGTGCTCGGGCCGCATATGGCATTCCAGCGCCTTGTTTCAGGTCACCTATCTTTGCACAATTATACGAGCTGACGCTCTGGGGACTTTGCCTGTCTTCGCCCATTTGATTGGCCTTGATGTTTTCATACGGCCTGGATAACCCATGAGTTTCATTTCTTACTTAGGGGCTTCTTAGACACTCCTCGGGCATGTAAATCCCCCGAGGAAAATTTCGTTCCACCTATCCTGAGGGATGAGAACGAAAAAAAAAAGTGAAAACATTTCCTTGGGGAATCCTCGGGGCGTCCTCGAGCTATAGCCATTTGGCGGCATTCCCTAAGGGACCTCCCTCCCGAGGTTCCTTGGAGGTCAGGGATCCGTGATAATCGGAGCGGCGAGGGCACCCGTCGTCAACAAGAGATTTTCGTCGGCTGGTTCATTGGAGTTCCTACCGGGCAGCGGACGGACATCTTGGGTCTTCAACGTTCGGTTTCCAAGAACCTTACGCCAATGGTAACCATTGGTGGCCAGCCGGCCCCCGCGGACGTCGTCTACCAGTGTCCTCCCTCACAGTGCGTGCCACCAAACGGAAAGGTGTCGAACGGTCGGCAAATTTGAATACTTCAGCCAACCCCCCTTGCTCCGATTGCCCACTGTATTTCGCGATGAAAAACATTACAAGGTGTTTGTCCCATGCTGTGGTCTGCCGTTTGCAGCCCTCTTCGTCGCCGTTTGCTGGAGGTGTACCGTCATCGTCTAGCTATTGCCCTTCCCCACTTGCCTTTCATGGCCAACGTCTTTCGAACGGTGCCGCTGTTGCTCCTAGTCATCCTTTTGCTTGTCCTTGTCGTCTTATTCCACGTCTGCATCCTCGGTAGGGTGCCTGGACGTACACGTAAGAGGCGGTCTGCAAAGAAGGACGTCAGCATGGACGGGCGGCAGACGAAGACTCCGAACTTCAAGAGCAAGTGTTCAGTGGACCACTCCTCAAGTCACCACTCAGAGCACAACCCAGCTCGCAGTGCAGGGGCGTATGACCCATGGTCCCATTAGAGTGCGTGTGTCATATGCTGTCCTCTACCGTCTGCTCCCTTCATCGTCACCGTTCAGTGAACCTTTACCATCGCCATAGAATTACGGCCCTGTTGTACGTGTTGTTGATGACCGACCTCTATTGAAGGTTGCCACTGCTGCTCCTAGTCACAATTTTGGTTGTCGCGGTCCTCCTATTCCACATGTGCTTCCTCTATTTTTCATGGCCGACCTCTATCGAAGGCCTCCAGCAGAGAAGATAAGGGATCGACACCGGCCGCAATCGACATCGACATCGGCAGCGCATCCCATGGGCGTTCGTCCACACTAGATGCAATCGCCATCGCCCGAAAGACACGTGGCGGCATACACAGATTCTCCCAGAAGTACTGCTTCGTCGCATCATCGCATTGCCTGAGATCCTCCCATGACCCCCCCATCCTCCTTTTCATCCACCACCTCGGCGTCGCTCGTGGAAGAACACTGCAACCCATGGCGCAGCAAACCTAAACTGCAGCCTCGGTGATGGCCGCGGTATCCAGCCCTTCGACCGGGACTTGATGAAGCGTCTTCCTCCTCCTCGCGCGGATCTGCGCTCTCATTCTTCCCAAATTGTGCCCTCTCCTGCTGACAACAAAAGAGCATGGCCGTCACGACCGCCGCCACAGCTGTCTTCTCGATCCTCGTCAACTTCACACGTCCGTCATCGCTGCCACATTCCATCGACACGACGTTTGTTGCAATGCTTATGAACCACAAAAATACAACAGCCTACCAACTCGCCACAACCACGGTAACCTCAGCGCCAAGACCGCGTGTGCTCGACTCAACACATAGCGCGGCGGCATGCAGAAGCGATGGCGATGGACCTCCGCAGGGCGCTCACAAATTTGTGATGACGTACGAGGACTCCACTGCGCCGCTGCGAATGCCTGTTTCCACCGTCGCAGATACGGACGCCACCTGCCTCGCGTCACCATCGTGACGTCCAGCACCCAATTTGAAATTTGATTTAAGGGAATTTTTTTTTCCGGTCGCCAGCACCTTTCAAAATTTCCTGCCTTCAGCAGCTGGACCCCACCGTAGCAAGACGAACATCACCCAATGGACCAAGGCATTGCCCCCCCCGCGGCTGACTATAATATTATGAAAAATGGCCGCCGGCTGCTGGAAGGAATCATCCTTGGGAGACCACCCCAAGGATAGGTGGAACGATGGCAGGAATTTCCTTCAAAACCCCCAAGAAAACTTCCTTCGGCCCCGAGGACGCCCCAAGGAGTGTCTAAC